TGGAACATTTTTCCCATTAGAAAGTTCTTCAAAGCCTTTTCAGAGGCACTGTCAATCAGGATGAATTGCAGATCATTCCTGCGCATCCAATAATGGGAACGGTTGTAGAAATTCCTCTAATTACGTATAATTGGTTTTGAAATTAAATGATCTGGAATATCATTGAGTGACTGTGAGAAGGATTATCTGCTAAGAAAAAGGAGCAGCCTGCTGGAAGGAGATAGATACATGGAAATAATGATAGCAATGGTTAGTTTCAAGAATTATGATACCAGAATAAATCAGACTAGTTTAGGTCAATGCATCTGGACTGTTTCCCAGTTGACTCCTGCACAGCAGTTCTGTGTTCTGGCAGGTCTAGAGTGACACACGTACCTCCAGCTTCTTTAGGGGAAGAGGCTGAATAACATATGCTGAGGCAAGGTTGTCAGATGTCAGTCCTTCATATTTTCAGTGTTAAGTGGTACAAAGCAGAGCTGCTTTTTCACCATCCTTACCCCAAGCATCTGATTCTGTCAAGTGACTTTATTCATTCATAAATATTTTCTGGACTGTACAGTCATGCCAAATATGCAACTGTCTGTGTAAAAGTGTGCAAACAAGGTGTGCCTGATTCCTGCATATAGTTACCATAACAAGTGCAAACATGCAGCAGGAATTTGAATACATGAATGAACAGACACCTAGATTAGCAAAGAATTTCTGAATGCAGAGAGCCGATTTGAGCAACAAGTCATGGCATCTGTATGCGTAAATTATGTGTGCCATTGCACATGAATTTTGAAACTCTGTTTCTAAGGAATATAGGTATTTCTGTGACCACAAAGCTTATCTGGGTTCCCCTTTTAAAACAGTGATGAGATCACTGGAAAAAGAGTTAGCCACTGCTCATCACCCTTCCTCATTTAGAAAGCGTGTGTGTTAAAAATCACGCAGTGCTTAGTTCAGAGCTTGGATATTTAGGGAGAACAAGATCCAGAGATGGAGAAGAAAGAATAAGAGCACTCACGGCCAGTGGAGCCGTGGTGGCAACAGAAGGGTTCCTTCTGTGCCAACCACAAATAGATGGAAAAAATACAGAATCCAGCTCCTGAGCTCCAGGATCCCACAGCCATAAAGGATGGAGGTGATCAGTCTGGGAAGGACTCTTCTATCCCCTCCAAGTCACCCACGTCACCCACACCCCTGCCACCATCATCTGTAACAGCAGGATGGGAGCCTAAGGCAGCACAGCATTGGGGAGATCTCTGCTTCCTCAGTCCCTGGGAGTCTAGCCAGGGATTCCTCTTTTGAGGTAGTTGCATTTTTGACCATTTCTGCACAGTACATGCATCCTTCCCCATACTCTTCCCTTAAAAAAAAGACAGAAGGCAAGAACGGACACCATGACACCTGAGCTGCTGCTAGCCTGCAAATTCATGGGGAGCACTTCCCACTTTCAGATTCTTTCACTTCTGAATGCTGTTTAAAAATACATGCTAAGTCTGACTGGACTCAGTCACAAGGGTGGGCAGCTTGAGGCCAGATGCTGGATGAAGGCTGCTCCTTGCTGAGCATTTCCTTCTCAGCTGTTGTTTGGGCTCCTGTCTGAGTGTGTGTAGCATCAGTGCTGGTTGTGCTCCTCAGCTCCACGCTAGCAGCAGTCACTGTTTCTGTTATTACTGTGCTGATCTGAAGAGGAAATAGTGATGCCTTTTTTAGAGCTTTTAAAGGCTCTTATTTTTCAAAGTGTCTTTTAGAAACCTAGTTTGGAAAATGGTGTTTAATTAACAGATGCTTGCTGCCACTAGAAAACTAAAGGAATGAAACAAAGGCAAGCTATGTTTAGCTACATGAAGCATGCTAAAAAAAAAAGAGAAAAAAAAAAAAAAGATGTGGAGTACAAATCATTTTTCTTTTTGCAGGGTTACATGCAACACAAATGAGTTCACTGGCTTGGCTTACCACATCAGTCAACAAATTGTTGTGTCAGCATACACATGGGAGCAATGTGTGCAGGGCTGGGTGGACAAACACCCCGAGCTGACAAGAAAAGGGTACAAGGGCTGACATGGATGTGCACCTCCAAAGAGCAGAGTACCCTTGGGTGCAGAGCTAATACTTCTCCAATACTCCCTTTTCCCTTGTCACTTAGCTCTTCTAGAAAAAAAGTTGGGGACATTGTGACCTGACCACTGAGTAAGCTGCGTTGCAGGTACGCGGAAATGATGCATGCATCTGTGCAGCTGTGCTTTATTTCTCACTTTTATATTTTGACTTGATTCTTTGTACACATTTATGGATGCTCTTCTTGTTTTTTTTTTAAGTTCCCGTCCACTCTCAGTCCCCGGTGAGTGTAGGTGTCAGTGCAAAGTGTGACAAAGCAGAGTTGTTGAAGTCCTCCCTGCTTGCTTCAGGGACACACGGTGTGCAGCACTGGTACCCAGGCATCATTTGTACGGCATCCGTGGCACATCCACAGGTGGGAGCGGGATTGTCACACTCCTGGTTCTGGGTATTGTCATTCGTCGTGTGCTCTCCAAGTGCCGTGCAACTCTCAAAACCGTAACAGCAGGGCAGGGTAAAATCTCTGTTGTACTGGTTTAGCACATGCAGTGTTAAAACGACGTCACGGTCTTGTCACTGCGCTGCAGACCGCTGCCAGAGACCTGCACCTTCCCCAGGCCACAGGTCCCTGCGCAGGCTGGGCAGCACTGTCGGGCACGCGCCCTGCAACAGCAGCCCTGCCAGTTCTGAAAAATGTCTGTTTTGTTCCTATTATCCACATCAGAACTCATAAAATCACCCATCTTCAGAACCAGTAGCCAAATTTCTTGCCTGTTTACATCTCATGTTAGAGCCTGGGTAATTTGGGGAGATTAGGGCAGTAAACAGTTGTAAACAGAATAAACCTGGATAACATTGCAAAGGGCAGCCCTCTTAAATGTTGTTTTTAGTGTCAGTGTAATTTGTGTGTGGTTTTGTTTCGTTTATAAAGGCAGCACAGTGATTAGATATGCTGGATGAGATAATTGGAAAATGCCTTACTCACCGGGATGTCTTAAAGGTTTAACCATTGGCTTAAACTTGCTTGTAACTCCAGCCACTGCTTAGGCCTGGGCGTGAAGCCTGCGTGTAGCCAGGGCCCTTGCTCCAGCAGAGGAGCAGAATTAACTTTTTCCTGCCCTGGCCAGGTACAGGGAGGGCCGGGACTCATGCAGAAAGCCTGGGGATGGGCAGAGCTGCTGGCAGCTGGGAAGTCACTGTGTGCTTCTCAGGCTATTTTTGAAGCTAGAAATGCAAGTGTAGCCAACTCTTCAGCATTTTCCCACACCTTTCATGTGACACAGGACTGTGCCCAGTCATAGGACTCTGTCCTTAGGACTTAATGAATTATCACAGTTTCACTTCCCCGGTGTTTTTTTGTTCCTTTTTGGAGGCAACAGAATTGGTTCCTTTTGCTGCCCTGATAGCTGCCTGGGGAACTGCATGGTAGGGCTCCTGTCCAAAAAGTGACTGTTATTGAAGGATTTTCTCCAGTCTGGGGCAGTTTCTGCAGGCAGGTAGTGCCCATCTCATTCTCTCCAGATGAGTTTCACACCAGCTGTTCAGTGTCTTCAAATACAGAACCAACTCTTGGGGCAAAAGAAGAGGAGCTTTGCAGGTGGTTTTATACATAATTCTCACTATGGTTAAGCACTAACCTTAATGCAGTTTAGATCAACATTTAAAAACAATGAAATATACATCAATTCACATCGTTATATTGAAATGGTTAGAGAAAACCCTAACTACTGCATGCACCCTTTTCCCATCCACAGCTTTTGGATTTCTTGCTAGCCAGTCCCCTTCAGGTCTTTGCCCGTTGTGCTGTGTGGAGGACACAACCATGAGGAGCTGCAAAGCAAACATATGCAGAAAGACTGACTACACAGAAAATGCTTTGATTTGATTATACATATAAAACCCAACCCGTGGATTGAGGTGCAGGTTTTCTGATCTGCTTCTGTTGCAGTCATTCTAGGGATGCCTGTGACAATAATCATTAGAAATGCTCAAACAGCTATATGATTTTTAAGTCAATGGTATTCCTTTAAGTCTAACATAGTATTAGAGTGTTAATTAAAGAAGCATACCAAAATGAAATGCTCCTTGGAGAACCAAGAACCTGTCATTTGTGTGAAAACCCTGGATTATAAACTGCTTCTTCTACTTTTGCTGCCAAATATGCAAAGTAAATTGCACAATTTCAGCGATGTAGTTGAGCTGCTTTTTATTTTTCTTTCTCCAACTTAGAAAAAAAAAATCTTCAATCTGACAGGGAGTTATTTATTTTTCTTGCGGTGTAACACGTATGGGCCCTCATCAACAATAATGCAATATATTTTCCACCATGTCTTATCTCAGTTTATCATGTGGTTGTGATTTTTCTAAGAGAAAAATTGTTTGTTTGCTTTGTTTGTTTGCTGTAATTTCTGAGCTATTTTTCATAGCAGAATTTATCAAGAAAAGCAGCAATCACAGTTGTGTGTTGTATGGGGCCACTAGATCTTTTTCCCATCCATGCTTAGTTGTGAGAATGCTCTCAGCATGTGAGACTGTTCTCATCCAGATTGTTCTCTTCCTTAGTTGTCAAATACCCAAATCCTTTTACTTGAGCTTCATCAATAGATTGCACAATCAATGGTTGCTTTATGGCAGATGCTGGGATGCTTTCTTACCAGTTTGTTAGCACTCTTTTATTAATTGCAATTTTATAAAACACTGGTTCAAGTTTCATCAGTGTTGTAATATGCTCTGGGAGAAAGGGATGGGGAATTTACCTCAGTAAATTCTCAAATTCATGTGCCTGCAACTCAGTCATTGAGAATGGGTTTATGAGTGCAATCTCCTCAATGGGTGAGGGAAATTGGACATAAAAGTATGGGCTGGTGTCAGCCACAGGGATTGGAGACATTAGGTTGGCAAAGGACATGGGTATTTCATGGGGAATGTTCATTGTAGAAAGCTTCCAAAACATGTTTAGAGCATTTAAAATCTGATAGCATATATTAATTGCATAAATCAGAATAGTTAGGGTGCTCAGTCATGGTCCCTTTATGTGTAAATTGTGCTGATAGCTCAGTGATCACCAAAAGTGTCCAAGTCTTGTTCCACAGGTGGGACAGCCACTTTCCCGTACATATAAGCTCTCCAGACTTTGGTAACCTGCCCATTATTTATCACTTTACTCTCTTTATCTAAATTGTCACTTTGGATTTTTGTTTTGTTTTGTGTTCCCAACATCACACCGGATATTTCAGAGCCATGCAGTAGCTGCAAGTCCAAGCACCTGCTTTGGCCATTGCAGGCGCTGCTCTGTCCGTGGCGCGCTGCTCGGAGGGGCTGAACACGGCACCCTGCTGCTTCCCACCCACCCCGGCAGCGTCTCAGCCCCAGAAGGATGGAAAATCTGCCTGCTTTGCTGCTGCTGCTGAGCTCACTGTATTTGTCCTCAAAAGCATATAAGAAGAAAAGGAGGAAAATTGTGTAGATTCCTACAGCTGAGGTTGGAAGGGGCCTCTGGGAGCCCCTGGGTCTATACAAGTTTGATAGGTAGTTTGGTCTGAGTACACAAAGGAACTGTGAGTGCTGACATGAAATGTTTCTCTCCTGAGGCCCATCTGAGGTCCTTTCAAAGTCAGCACAGGGACTGCCTTTGACATTGAGTAGCATATCTGGGGTCCTTGTGGTGACGTTCATGTCTCCAGCCTTAACTTCTAACAGCTGGGCAGGTGGTGTAAACTCCTGGTAGAGACACGGACATCTCCAGGACTTCCTCCACCAGTCCTGAGGCACTTGGGGATATGAGTGACCTCCTACAGATCCTGTCTCAATCCACCAGCTTCTGGCAGAGCATCTGTGACCCACTCAGCACTTTGTGGGACTTTCAGCTTGGCGAGGAGGTTAAGCTGCCTGGCTGTGCTGAAACCAGTTCATAATTTCTTCCTTATTTCAGAAAACCTGTTTGTTAAGAGAGATTTTAGTCTGTGATAAAACAAATGACTTGTGAGTTCATCACAGCTCTTCAGGATTTGCAGAGGCTCAGAGCTCAAGTGTCATTTCACAGCAAGAGTTTTCCTGCTGTTAGACTTGTGCTGTATGGCTGGAGTGTGAGTGGAGAACGGTTCAGCCAGCAGGATATAAGCCCAGAAGCTGAAGGCATTAGGCTGTGGACTTACTTGCTCTCAAAATGTGCTTATAGACAAGAAGTTGGGAGTTCCCAGAAAATCCCAAAAAAAAAAAAATAACCATGATGAGACTGCAGCAGTGGAAAGCAGCTGGATTGAACTTTCTAAGGCTTCTTCCTTCTGCAAAGAAAATCAGAGGTTAAAAAAGCTGCGGTATGTTTGCAGGCAGTATTCAGCCCCCACCACAAATGCTGGAAATTGAAAAGAAAATCCAGTGCAGAATGGTAAAAGCCATCTGTTGCACTTATATGCTGTAGAGTTGTATGACCAAACATTTTTGCAGGGAGAAGCTCTTGCTTTCAGGGGAAAAAAAAAAAATCAAGGTATGTGCACAAAATCCGAACAGGCAAAAAGCAAGACCTCTAGGTCTTCCCACACTAGGGAAGTGTTAGAGCCAGGCTTATTTCCATTCAAGCTGATGCCGACACCTTGACTAATGCAGGACTGGAATTACCCCTTGCCCCTCAAACACAACTGGGTCTAGCAGCAACATGCAGCTGGGCACCTCGTGGGCAGAGCAGGGTGTTGAATCCCACTACATCACGAGGCTGCCCTTGAAAACCTGCCCTTGCTAACAGCTAAATTTGGCATTTCTGCATCTCAGCCAAGAGTCATTTTTTTGAAGATATTCAATGGAGAGAGGAGATGAAATAATGTATTGCAAGACAGTGGCAGCTGCTCTGAGATGCTGTGGGGCTGCAGTGTTTGTAGTAGTGCTTCTGGTATCCAGAGCATTGCTGCAGCCCTCTCTCACATAATCGTCTTGTAAAGCTGATGTCGAGTTCCTGACAGGCTCCTAATCCATCCTGACATGCACACAGATGCTCAGCTGAGTGTCATTTCCTGCACTGAGGACCCCAGATTGTTCCTGACTGGCCCTTGGCTTTGAGCAATCAGTTTAAATTTTTTCTCTCATTTATTTCTTTGCCTAAGGGAGCTGTGCTTCAACCCCCTTCTGTAAATTTCCTTATCATTTAACATGCAAAATACACTCAGCAAGGGCAAGGGCTTTATTTATGAGCTGAACTCTTGTGAGATTTCGTGATGCTGCAGTGCAGGTTTGCTCTGGGTGCCTTGCAGCTCTGCACTCTGGTTCCATGTACCCAGCTCAATCTATGCCGGTACTGTGCGAGGGCAGGGAGAGGGACTCTGCTGTCCTCAGGAGGCATAAAAGGCTCCAAACCGCTGTTGTCAAACCAAAGCAAAGTTTAGGCTGAGCAAACGGCAAGGTGCAGCTCCTTTCCAGGTTGCTTGCTCCTGCTTTCACGCCCAGGACAGTTCAGGGCACACTGAGAGCAAGGTTTCAGCAGGATCGCAGTGGTTGGGGCTGGCGCAGCGGGGCTGCAGCAGCAGATGTCTCAGGACTGCTCTGTCTGCTCACCATTCAGAAGGGAATGCTCCACTTGGAGTCCTTTCGAAAGGACTCCAATTTGCGGTTAATTAGCAACTTTTGGCTTCACTAACTAGCTGGTCTGTTTATTTTTTGTCTGAGTGAGTTCTTTTCTCTTCCTGTTGTTGTTCCTTCTTCCTGAGCAAAGGGGGGCCACGCAGACAGCCGACCCCTTTGCATTCGGGGGACTTGCAGGCCAGCACAGGCTCTGCCGCCTCCTCTCTGCTCCCAGATGTGCTGGCTGGTCCTTGCCTTGTCAATTGTCTCTCCTTAACCTTTAATTTTAGTTTTGCCTAAATGAGAGCCATTTGAGTGCAAGGTGACAGAGGTGAGAAACATGGTGCTGGGCTCAGTAGTTAGAAGAAAGCGTTTTGCTCCTCTGTGAGCCACCCTTTCTGGTCTCAGCTCCCACTAGAACTGCAGACCTGGTGGCCGTGCTGGCTGGGACTGCTCCTTCCTGATCCCCAGCGCTGGGGCACTGGGACCCTTCAGCACACTGCCGCAGCCCGTGGGTGGCTGTTGGAGCTGAGAGGTGAGATCTGAGCTGCCCTTGGAGCCCAGCTGCTAATGCTGGTGGAAGGGATCCAAATACTAGCACATGGGCTGGATGCGGCTCAGCCGTGGGGTAACCCCTGCTGTACAGCAGGTATGCGCTGGCCATAAATGTAGTCCCCTCTGTTACTCATGCCCCCACCCTAAATGTTTTATGTAACCTCGTGAACTCCATGTAGCTGTAATCTTAAAAAGCTTGTGGCCTTTGCTAGACTTGCATTTTAGGCAAGAGGCCTGGAAGAACCAGGCCATCTGTGGTGGTAATGAGTTTCTCATCCTTTCAGAAAGTGAATAGTCCCTTGGTGGCCTTCCCCATGCTGACGACTGCATGGGATTTTCCTAACTTGCATGAAAGCGGAGGATGGAGCAGTGCAGTTAGGGAGACCGTGGTGTGAAACTACTGGATATGACCCTTAAATTCATCTGTCAAACTGCCGCCATTGTAGGACAGGTGAAACAACAGATACTGAACATGGAAAGATCATCTGTGTGTGGAGCTATAGTGCAGTCTGTAAACGATGCCCAGATCTATGCAAAACCAGAGGTGCTTCTGAACCAGGTGTTTGTTGTTGAGTTAAGCTTTTCCCTTCCCTCTGGGACTGTCAACTGACAAAAGCTCCCAGCAGACCGGGTGGCAGAAGTTAACCACCACATACCTGCTGGGGGCTGCTTTTGCAGGGACAATTTCTTATCTGTTTACACTTCTGCCTCCATTTCTCTGTCTTGATCTCATCTGAGCCCTCTGCATGGAGTACTCCACTCCTCCTTCCCTCCTCCTTGTTCTCTGTCATGGGGTACCCCAGCCCTGCAGCGCTGGTTATGCCACAAAGGTCTTCACCAGGCTCAGCTCCTCTGGGGAGACCCCGACTCCCTCTTGGCCCTCTCATCCTAGAAATCCTTCCTGCTCTCCTCCCACTGTCCAGTGCAGCACACGGGCAGATGGTTTCTGTTGCAGCTGTCAGAGTGCAGCTGCATAGCTGCACGCTGGGACAGCCGAACGGTAGCTGCCCTCATCCCTCGCACTGCGCCCAGCCTTCTTCTGTCCTCTCCCCAGTGTGACTGTGCACAGGTGACGGGCTCCAACCAGCTCACAGTGAGCAGGGACAGCCTGGGTCGTGCTTCTCTCCCTTGCACAGAAATTTTAACAAGAGCTCTGCATGCACAGGTGAGTTAGAAAGTCGAGCAACGGGCATGCTCCAGAACAATCTCTTAATCTCTCAGTGCATGAAGTCTTCACCCCAGCCCTCAGGTTTAACCTTTGAGTGGTTCTGCTGCATTTCAGGTCTCTTGTGAGTCTCTCAGCAGTGACTGCCACAGCATCTGTAGGTGGCCCCTATGGGAAAACTCTCTGTTGCTGCTGGGTGTTGAGGCATGTGCCCAGGGATTGCCTTCCCCCAGATATAGAGTGCGTTTGAGGTAGCAGCAGCATGATAAGCAGATGATAAGGGAAGAGCAGTATTGTGAAAAGGACCGTCCCTTCATGCAGGGACTGGAATCTTGGAAATACCCGATGAGAGATGTGCGTGGACGTGCATCTCCCAGTATCAGATGGTTTGTTCCTGTAGCCAGTCATCTGGTCACACAGAAGAGAAGGCGTCTGTCTGGAAATTGCATTTTCACACTCCCACTGTCTGGGTTTTCAATTCAAGTTCTGCCCCAAACATGCATCTGCTTTCCCTTCCTTTTCTTTTTCTTTTTTTTTTTTTTTTTTGGCTTTTACTTCTTGCTTCCCCCCCACACTCTGTTTGAAGTATTTTTCTGGACCAAAGTGATCAGGAAAGAATAGCAAGGGTCCCTCAATTCGTGTCTGCGTGTTCTGTTCTGCCAGACTCCCCCCAAGGTCCCACAGCTGGCCCATGTGCTGCTTATACGGATCCCAAACCATATCCACCTCTCTGCCAGGATGGACCCAGGATCTGAGATTCAGCTTGGTGGTCCTTACCAAACCACTTTTTTTCAGAAATCCAGGGCATGAGAAACAGTGTAAACGCTTTCTAGTTCTCACAGCTCCGATTCTCCGCCCCCCACCCCCACCCGCCCCATTAATCTCAGGTTTCAGCAGCAGCAGTGCCCCTCTGCCAGCCCTGTGTGCCCTGGGTCCCCCCAGGGACTGGGATCTCCCTGGAAGAGCCACCACACAGCCTCGCTGGTTTGTTTGGTACGGGGGGGGGAGACACCAACACTTGTTCTCGTGCTGCCAGTTTGGCCCTAGGAAGTCTGTGCTCTTCCCACTGTGTCAAATGTGCTCCAATTTCAGTGGGATTTCATTTCCACCAGTAGTGGTTCATGTGGCGCAGCCCAGCTTCTGGGCTCAGCCTCGCTCCCTGCCAGAGAGGTTGTGTCCTGGAGAAACCAGCCAACTGCAAACAGTATGTGGGGCTGATATCATTGCAACTGATCTTGGCCCCATGCATGGGAGAAACGAGTCTTGGCAGAGAGCTGTGCTCTGCTCTGCTCTTTCCCTCCCGCCTGCAACGTGCTCCCACAGGACTGCACCAGGGACCCGCTCCCACTCCAGGTGGCTCCAGGGCTGGCCAAGCCCCACCTGGTGTCTTCCCCTGTCATAGCTGCAGCCCATTAACTCTGATAACTTTGTGCAGGGCTCCCCCGTGCCCCCAGACCTCACCAGAAATGCCCATGCACAATCCAGGGGAGCAGCTTGTGGCCTTTCTGGGAAGGGGCCAGAGGCTGGTGTGGCAGGATGCCACCACCCGCGTTTGGTCTCTGCCTATGCAGCCCTGCACTGCAGATCACAGCCTGGCTCTGCTGCCTCTGGTTGCTCTTTCTCTGCTCCAGGTCATTAGTGGGAGAGGCTGAGAGCCTTGCCATAGCCCCAGCCCATCTGCCAAGCATGGAAACCGCTCCAACACCTTGTCCACTCCACTAATAAACCATTAATGGTGATAAAAAAGTTGGTAGGAGACCAGGTCTGAGAACTGTGGTGATGCACAGGGCAGGCCAGAGCCTTGTCCATCGTGCTGCCACTGGGTCTGCAGAAAAGTGGGAACATGCACTGGAGACAGATAAGGAGAGGAGAACATGCAGGGTCAGGATCTGAATTGGGAGGTGACACATCTGCAGCTGCTTCTGATTGTGACGGTGTAACTCATGGCTGGGAAAATCCCAGTTAATTGGTGGAAATTTGGATCAAGCGGATTAAGAAAAGGAATGGTAACTTGCCAAGATACGTCATTCATACTTTAAAGTATGCATTGGGCTAATAAGCACGCAGTAGGAAAAGAAGTTGACGGGTGGGGACCCATAAATCTTTCCAACTTCACGTGCAAGACAGAACTTACCTTGCCTTACTTGCCTGCTTCCACCTTCTGCTGCATGTGGTGCCTCCAGAATGAGCCTCCCCTCGGGTACAGGAGGCTGCAGAGGCAATGGCCAGAGCCTGGATGCTTGACTCAGGGCTGCTGTGGGTGAAGCTCACCCATCTTTGGTGCATCATTTCCTTGGTGCATCATTGCTTCTCAGTGCATTTACCACTGTGGGATCTCATGAATGTGTAAGCAACTTGCTGCTACGAGACACTGTCTCTGACCACAAATTGTGAGTATTTAGGCAGTCAAATGTGTTTCCGTTCCCATGCTGCTGTTCTGGTTATCTTGGTGCAGGTCAGAAGGCATGGTGCTGTGATTTGCAAAAAGCCCAATGACTTGATGTTTTGTTCTTGTTGGGAGGGCTGCTAGCCCAGGCAGAGGTGTAGGGAAAATGAACAGAGCAAGTCTGAGAGCAGAAAATGCAGGCTGGCCTCTGGCATAACAAGCCTTCACCCTGCAGCTTCATCTAGCAACTGTTACCTATGATTAAGAGTCCGTATCAATCTTGATGTCATGAAAGTCATACAGACCATGAAATCCCCATGTTCAGTGTGGAAATACAGCATTTGATGCATTTTTGTTTGAAATGCGTTAAATCTGAGTTAGAGAGGCTGCAGGGAGTGCTCTGGGCCCTGTCAGCCAGGAGTAACTGAGTCGCTTCACCCCCTGGCCAAGCAGAGCACACAGATTCACCACCATGCATAACATTTTCTCCTCGGCTCATCCATGACAAACTGTAAAAATCGCAGGGATGTTTGCCACGGACAGCCTGTGAAATCAGCCTCCTCTCTAGGAATGAGAAGCTTGCATAGCTGTGAGCCTGGGCTTTTCTGCCTTTTGCGTGTTCTCTGCCAGAGAGCAGCACCGGAGCAGCAGCTCAGAGGCAGGATGGTGGCGCAGGGTGGTGGGGCAGGGTATCAGAGCTTGCCTGAGCAGTCTGTGATGTGCAAGAGGAATGGGGAAGCAGAGTGAAAATAAGAGGCTGCAGTAGTTTGAACACTTCTCTGTCAGCCTGGCACTTGCATATTTGCTAGGCAGGGGTTTAATCTGTCAGGGACTTTCTTTCATGCACTGTGTTCAGCACAGCCTATAAAGCCACTCTCTGGGTGAGAGTCTCTGTTGGCAAGTAAGATGTGTTTTAGCAGCCAGATAGCCCTGGGGATGTCCCCGATCGTTCCAGCCATCCCATGGGATTCCTGCTTGCACCTGTAGCCAAAGGGGAAGCGGTGAAGTCTGCTCTGCTGCACCAAAGGAGCTGCTCGTCCCTGCAGCAGGGCTCAGGGTCTGCCTCGGGTTTCGTACAGCTCCGCTGTTTGCAGCTACGGTTTCACTAATGTGCTGATTGATAACTCTCTGGAGTGCATTTTCACTTCCTGTCCACATTTGTCCCAAACTCAGCTCTCTCTTTGACATTTCCCACTTGTGGAGCAAAGATTGGGGTTTGTCCGAAAAAGGGGCATGTCAGAGAGGCCAGAAGCAGCTCCCTCACTGAGCACGGTGGCCTGGCAGCGTTTGTTTGTGCGAGGTAGAGTTCTCACGCTCTAAATATACAATCTGTGATAAGGGAAGGGAAAAAGCCCAGCATGGAAATATTCCCTCTGTAAGAGAAATAATTTGCTGCTGCTAAAAATATATGTTCATATTATTCCTGCCTTGGTCTCTAGTTTGATGGGAGAGAGTGCACGCAGGCTGCCCTCAGGGGACTCGGCTCCGCTGCAAATACCCAGAGCTCAGCAAGGCTGTGTGTCCGCTGGGGCTGGAGGATCACAGGGGGGCTCGGCATCTTCGCACTGTTTTATCATCCCCATCTCTTTCTCAGGACAGTAAAGCTGTGGTACAGGGTTACCCCAAAGGTCATAGTCAGTAACCTCTAAGCAGGTGCTGACAGTGGGAAAGGAAAGTGATCCGCAGCATTCCCAGAGCAGCTGGGAGCCCCTTCCCAGCCCTGTCCATGCAGCGGCAGGAACGGCTTTGTTTGAGGGAGATGCGTGCTCAGGGTGGTGGGATATGTGTAATCCCTTCCTGTCTCATCTGTGAGCGTCCCGGGCCCGGTGCTTCCTTCCCTGATTGCTGCTCCCGGGACCCCCGTTCCCATTCGCAGTGCTTCCGCGCCCTGTGGGCCAGTACAGCAGCCGCCCCGCGGGGCAGTGCCGGATTTCCCAGGGACTGCCCCAGCCAGAGACAAAGCCAGCCCGGCAGAATCCTGCCCGCTTGCTTTTCCGCTGCTATCCGGTACTGAGTGAGAAACGAGCGGCGTTTTCTGTTAATTCAGGGGCCCACGTCCTCAGCTGTGGCTGTCTGGAAGTGGCTGTGTTGCCCAGAGAGCTGTGCCCTCCGCTCAGCTGGGACCCCGGCCCACCCAGCCCCCAGTGCCACTGCACACAGTCACAGAATCACAGAATTTCTAGGTTGGAAGAGACCTCCGAGATCACCCAGTCCAACCTCTGACCTAACGCTAACAGTCCCCACTAAACCATATCCCTAAGCTCTACATCTAAACGTCTTTCAAAGACCTCCAGGGATGGTGACTCCACCACCTCCCTGGGCAGCCTGTTCCAATGTCTCACAACCCTTTCAGTAAAGAAGTTCTTCCTAACATCTAACCTAAAACTCCCCTGGCGCAACTTTAGCCCATTCCCCCTCGTCCTGTCACCAGGCACGTGGGAGAACAGACCAACCCCCACCTCACTACAGCCTCCTTTAAGGTATCTGTAAAGAGCAATAAGGTCACCCCTGAGCCTCCTCTTCTCCAGGCTGAACAAGCCCAGCTCCCTCAGCCGCTCCTCGTAGGACTTGTTCTCCAGATCCCTCACCAGCTTCATCGCCCTTCTCTGGACTCACTAGTTCCTGTGGTTCTTATTATCAGGTGAAATCCTTAATCTTCACAGTCTGGGTAATGAGACCTGTGCTGTCACTTTTGCATCACAAGGTTACCACAGCCGCATGTGTCTCCTGCCTGTTATTTGTGAAGTTGCATTAGTTTACAGCTAGGTGATTATTAAGGAAAATAGAATAGATTCAGTTCAGGATCCAGCAGCTGGACCATTTGGCAGGGAAAACATCCCTGTGAAAGCTGAAAGATGCCTTTTTTGTTTACATTCTAGTTCAGACACCCTTACCATGCTTATTTCAGGAACGTAATGAGAATAACTGTTGCCACTCAGACAGGTGCTCCAGAATGACCTTTGCACCATGTGCACTGGTCGCTGACATGGTTTTGAAGTCTTGTTTGCTTTGCCAGGTTTGCTCACGAAGGGCAGTGTCCACAACTTGTGTTGGTGGGGGCTACAAACCCAGGCCAGGCTGTACTGCATCATGCCAAGGTGGGTTTTTGAAAGGCTTCTGCAAAGCCTGGAGGAGGACTGAAAGTATTTCTCCTCTATATGTGCTAAGAAACGTGGGTGGAAGTGCTGACAGAGAGCCTGAGGCCCAGGAAGCCACACTGGTGGTGCAGAACACACCACACCCCGATGTGCTGCCATAGCCTGCGCCTTGATGCAGCTGGGGGGCGGTGGGGAGGGACAGCCGTCATGCCTGGCGTGATGGGGCAGCGAGCAGGATGTGTGTATTTGAAGAGGAAGTGTCCATGAGGCAAGGGTTGGATGCACTAATCGCGACGTTTGGAGCCGTTTAGCTCAGGTGTTTTAGCTCAGGTTAAGTGCTGGCAGAAAAGCAGAATATCGACCTCACGTCAAGCTGGTCCCAATGCATTTCCATGTGGCCTTTGGGGAAGGGTTTTGTTTTGCTTCACTGCCCTGTTTGTACCACTGGGTGAGTCACAGCCCCGTATCGGCCCGGCAGCGCCCGCAGGTTTCCTCCTGACCTCGGCAGGGCCAGCCAGGACCCAGCCACAGCCTTCATTCAGCTCCAAGCTGTGCTCGTGCTGTCCCACGTCCATCCTGGCACCAGGTCAGGAATGTGCGCGCCGGGCAGGCATGGCAGGGCGGGGAGCTGCTGCAGAAAGAAAGGGAAAAGCTGCCTCCTTGCTCTTCCTGCTTCAGACCCTCTCCCATTTCAATCGCTGGGAAAGGCAGGGCTCAGCCAGCTCAAGGTTGTGTCCTTCTGCTGCCTGGCCCCAGGCCAACGTGCGTGAGAGCAGCTAGACACAATAACCACGTGTCACACGCAGCATTGCTCCCCTGCGACTCAAGCAGGCATGCAGGCAGTGCTGGGAAGGGATTAGCAGGAACGAGGCTGGTGGTGGGGCTAAATTGTGTCAAAGCTATTAAATAGGTATCTGCCAGGTATGCTTCCAAAAAGGCAGCCTCATATACCCTGGTACACTGGGTTCTGGAGTGCAGAAGTTCTGCCTCATCAGGAATTCAGCTGCTCAGTGGGATGTGAAGAATATGGGGAGAAGCAGCCTGCACACACAGCCTGGATGCAGACTGGTTCAAGCCAAGGAGACAAAAGAGGAGGCTTGAGTCTCTGCTCAGCTCATGCCTTAAGCAACCAAACGCTGGTGAGGACCTGCACTGCTCCTGACCTCAAGCCCAGGCAATATTTGCCTGTTGGATGCTTTGGCTTAATGCAATGTTTGGTCCAAAAAATTGGAGCAAAATCAGATCAGCTTCTGTGCCAGCAAGTCAGGATAGCAATAGTAAGATGTATTATTTAGGGTCACTTGGTAACTGTTTTAATACAGCCTTTATCTTGCTTTGAACACATGGAGTATGGAGCAGATCTTAACGAGTGCAGACACAGCCAGAATTATTTATTGGTTGCTGCTTGTCAGACTTGCCCTGCTCATCCAGCCACATGCTGCACCCAGGAGAAAGCCTCTGCTGAGGGCTCAGACACTGTAGGATTTCTTTTCCTTTATCCTATGATGGTAAGCGGTCAGAGTCTGTCCTTATGGATGGAGATGGGTTTGGGAACAGAGCTAAGGAAGAGCACAAGTCCTCTCCCTCCCTCTGCCCTCTGGCCATTGCTGCACTGGAACAAGTCCATGTGTTCCTGGGTGACTCACAACAGCCCTTTCCAAAAAGAGGAAAAGGAGACGGTGGTGGTTTATAGGAGAAGGAGATGGCTGTTAACAAAAGTGTTTGGGATAATTATGGAAAGACAGTGGGTTGGGTGGTGAGAAGAGACTGGCTGCAGTTTTCCTCCCAGGCTCTGTTGGGCCATCACTTTGGTGTTGGCCTTCCCCAGGCAGTTAACTTCTCACCTGGCTCCTGGATCTCCTACCTCCTGCAGCTGGAGCAGGGGAGTAACAGTGGATTGCGTGCTTTCAGCTGGGGTCTTCATGTCCACACAAGTGGTGGGACAGAGAGGTGGCCAGTGGCCCTGCACTGGCCCCTAACAAGCCCTATGGCTCAGCCTCACTGGACATACACACTGCTGGTTGTTTTTTGAAGATGTGCTAAAGGATGTTGGAGGAGCGTGAGGTGCTTGCTTATAAATCCCAGTCCTGAGCCTGTCTGCCACTCCTCTGCATTGTGCTCAGTGTGCAGAACATACGCAGAGAAGCACCCCTGCTTTTCTGATGGTCTTGTCTTTAATTGTTGTTTGCTTTCCTGACTCTCCTCCCCCGCTAAGTGAGACTGGGAACCCACGCTGCAGCCATGCCCTGGGTATGTGGCGGTGACAGACGGTGCCACGGCAAATGCCTGGAGCACAGGAACTTCACAGCCTGGAAGTGGCCAGAGATGTTATGTGACACAACCAGGACGACAAGAGAAGGTGGGATAGACCCTGGCCTGGTCTCATGAGCCCTGACTTAGCACCTGAGCCTCACAGTTCTGCTGAGGGTTATACTTTTTGGGGGAAAGTCCTTGCAGGTCTTCAGTGGGCACCATGGGCCATGCCCAGTGCAGCACTGCTGCCAGCACAGCCCGGAGAGGCTCCGTGTCCTGGCTTTCAGCAGTGGAGTGGCTGAGCCAGGGCACGTCAGTTCACTGTCTTCAGAACTGCTGTGACCCAGAGTGAGTTCCTGTGTCTCATTTGCCTCCTCAAAAGCACCTTCAGACCCATGAGTCAGTAAAAACCCCGGTGAAGTCACTCTGGCTCCACCACAGGGCAAACCCTCAGGAGCCACAGCTCCCAGCAGCACAGTGGTCTCCTACAGCTCCCATCACCGTGCTGCCCCAGAGAGCACACATTGTTAGAACCCAGAACCAGTGGGCAAGGGCACTCATCACATCCTTTCTCTATGCCTGCAAGCTCCTCAGCACCACTCAGACCTGATCCAAGCCACGGCAGCCCCATGGTTTAACAGAGCAGCCTGCAGTACGAAACCTCAGGCCCTGAGAGCAGAAACCTGCAGAGCAGAGCTCTGCCAGGCTGGGACGCTGGGGCTCACTTGTCCGCTAGTAACCCTGGCCTCGGGTGCCTTGCTGCGACCCAGGTAGAGCAGGGTTAACGCCAGCAGTGTCCCACTGCAATGGCCTTTTTATCTGATGAGATCCAGCGCATTTCCTGGTGGAGCAGTTTGCGTCCGGTCGTTAAGGCTGCTTGGCAGCTGAGCAGAGAGGAAGGCTGGAAGTAAACAGAGGCGCTCTTGGATCGGTAGCTGGGAAAAGCAGTGAGAAAAGGCATGGGATTGCCGTCTCCAAAGCCTTCTTGCTTCCTCGCTTCACAGACAAACAGCTTCCTGCCAGGGACAGTGCACACAGTGCAGCTCCACAGCCACCAGCCCTCTGCCTGGCCAGCTCAGCGCTGCGCGTGCTCTGCCTCCAGCAGGGGCTTCCACTGAGAGAAACTCATCGGGGACTTGAAGAGCTAATTGGGTTTGCATGCCTGATTCCACGAGGCCCCACAGAAAATCCCAGGCTGCGTTAATCTGCTGCGTTGACCTCTTGCCCTTGAGTCCTCTCTTCACATTCAGACTATCTCACCTTGGGTGTACTGCTCCTGGACAGGATGATGGGGCCATTTTGGCTGGTAAATTCTGAATTTCTGGACTTTCCCCTTTCTCCTTTGAACCACTTTGAGCATGTCCTGGACGTTCCTAGAGCGAATGAAAAATGTGTTTCTAGATCTTTGGGATCAGATAGGAAGGCATCATCTTTCTCAGCAGCTGAGGGCTGAGTCATAAGTGAGGACTGGACTCTCCCATGGCTAATTAAGCAGTGAGAGAAAGACCTTATCCCTCTAGCTGTTGGTCTTGAACAACAGCAACTCAGCTGCCCAGGTACAGATGACAGCATCTGATTTGGACACACGATGGTCATGGTGCTGTGGACTTCCCTGCAGTCACCTCATCTCTTCAAAGTTTTCCTCTTTTCTTATTCGTAATGCAAAACAGTTTTTCTCATAACTTCTCCCTGGATTTGGGCAAATGTTAGTATACAAACTCTAAGGCAGACAGGAGGTCAGTCTTTCTTCCAGAAAGGAGACAGATACAAAAATGGCCAGCTAGACTAAAGAATGAGAGTTTGTTTGAGTCCATAGTGCTGAGCATGTCTGCCAGGACTTCCCAAATAAT